GTGACTTGCTTACAAAAGCCTATATTAGGCGTCTAGCAGAGGATTTGAGGGATCGATTTGAGTTACGCGGTGTCATCAGCACGATTGAACTATCGCGCATGTTTGCCTTCCCTCCGCAATTTATTTTAAACATCATTACGGAATACAACAATGTGCTCTTTCGACTGCACAAAGACAGCGAGAAATACTACACAGATTCTTACCTGAATAAACAGAAGGCAAAAGTCCTCGGATACTTTTCAGCCGCCCTGACACCAATTACTGTCTCCTCTGTTGTAACGAAATTGGACATCCCCCAGAAATTGCTCTCCGATATCCTGGAATCGTTGATTTCTGGCAGCAGGTTGCAAGGCACGCTTACAGCATGTCGGAGTGTTTATACTCCACGATGTTTCAGTATTGCCCAGGACTCTTACCTCAAATCTTTTTATTCGCAAAATGGTTTTGTTGAATGTAGTCTCGCCAGACGTCTTGGAATAGCTGATCCAGTTTCCTATTTTCACAAAACCTTTCCAGACGCTATCTACTCACGTGATATTTGCGTTAATGGCACCCTTCTATCTCAACTTAAAGCTGTAATTACCGATGATACTGATGAGAACCCATGGCTAGATGTGACTAGTTATCTTCCTTCGCATTTCGGCCCCAAGGAAAGAGAGTGGCTTGTTGCCCCACTTTTGGCCAAAACCAATCTTGTCCCCCTATGCGATTACTCATTCCTGTGCTCGCGAGACCGGCTGCAGGGTTATGTTACCGTTTTCGACGAAGTTTTGCGTGAGGCTGCAGAGACTGCTTCCAAGCAGCAGACTTTTACCTCGCAAAGACAATCAGCTTCCTCCGCACCAGCAACTCAAGATATCGCCGCCAAATCAACTACAAAGAAAGGTAAATCTGGGGGCTTTGGTGTCGGTTCACGCGAGATAAAGACGAAGAACGTTAAAAAGAAGTACATGAAAAAGTCTGAATATCCGGAAGATACGCCTCTTGACGCCATGGATACAACTATTTCATTAGAGGAGTACCTACCCCAAGAAAAACTTGTATCGATCCTGTCGGACAATCTGGGACCTGAAGCCCCGGATGAATTGGCTGAAGGGATTCTCGACGCTCTGCTACCTGAACTTAATGTTAAATTCGCAAGCTTGCTGAAGTCTATTTTCCTGCAGAATTCAGACACGTCGAAGAACCGAAATCGTTTCATGGCCGAAAAGGAGTCTTTAACACAAACAATTTTGTCCATCCAGGTAGGTTTCGTGCAACTTTGAAATACCAACTTGCATGTGGACTTAACCAGGGCAGTAAATTCATGTCCAGTTACACACTACTCCACTCTTCGCATGCTTGCCTCGCGTTTTCTTTAGGCTTGCAACAAGAAGTTAACAATTATTACCAAATATGAAAGTTAAATGCTGTTTAGGGCGTCTAACTTCAATACTTTATTTATCACTTGGACTTACAAAAATATCCTTGACGGCTCCTTGATGATCCCGAAACTTAAGATGCATACTTCAAGCTATGTGTATAACATTCCCCTTCTGTTTGCCAAATGGGATGTTGTACACTTGGCGATTTTATTCAGCGTTATGATTCGGGTGTGACTTATTCAGATTTTACTTTTAATTACTTCCGAGGGCTTTTGAGAACCTTTTTTTTTACTAGATGTCCGTTCGCGCCGGAAAACATTTTTTCTGTATTTGCCTATCGAAATAAATTAATTCGCTTAACTCCACTGGTCAAATAGTAGTAAAAAACCGTGCGGTAATGCCACCATTTATTCGCCGTTTGGCTTTGTGTGCGTAATACTGACTTTCTGCCAACATAAATTTCAATGAAATACTCACATGATTTTCCAAAGAGTATAATATAGTTTTTAAAGCTGCGGCGCCCGCCGTGGTTGTCGTTAGAGCAGTAAAATCTTTTATCGACATTCAA